CCCCAAAACCCCAAAACCCCAAAACCCCAAAACCCCAAAACCCCAAAACCCCGGAATATCTTAAAGAATTGAATTAGGTCTAATATCTTATTAACTCCATTCCAGTGTCATTTACTTCTCTTTCCAATTCTCTTGGTACTCTTTGCTTGTTTTGCTCAAGGAATTTCTTCAAATCTGCGAAGATCTCAGAGTTCTCAGTGCTCATAAAGGTTGTAGCAACACCAGATTTGCCTGCTCTACCAGTTCTTCCAATTCTATGGACATAATCGCTGAAAACAGTAGGGCAATCATAGTTGATGACTTGTTTCACGTCATCGATATCTATACCTCTGGCCAGAACGTTTGTACAGACTAAGATGTCAATTCTGCCCTTCTTGAAAGCATGGAGGATATCTTCTCTCTTTTCTTGAGATTTACCTCCATGCATTGCTGAGCATTTCCATCTTTTCTTCTCAATTTCTTTTGAGAGACGTTCTGTGTCTGCTTTGTGGTTCACGAAGATTAAGCATGGCACTCCATACTGCCTCAGGAGCTCGAGAGTTTTTTGGGTTCTGTGGCTGGGCTTTGTGAATTCACAGTTTTGTAGAATCTCTTTCTTTCCACTTCCAGGTTCTCCAATGGAGATGAAAACGTTGTCCTGAAGCAAATCCTTTGCTAAATCACGGATATCTTGGGATATTGTTGCTGAGAATAGATTAATCATCCTTTTACGTCCATGAAGTTTTCTGACTAACTCATCGTGTGTGTAAGGATCAAGATGAGTCAAAATTGTATTTAACGCTTCATCTTCGATATGGCCCATAATTGTTGATACATCGTCAACGAGATCCATTTCAATCATTTTATCAGCTTCGTCTAGAATCAGATAGAAAGCTTGGTTGAGCACTAATGTTCTTTTCTTTAAGCAATCGAGAATTCTTCCAGGAGTTCCAATGATAACTTCACATCCTCTGCTGATCTTAGCAGTTTGATCAGAGGCGCTTCTTCCTCCTATCAATCAGGCTGATCTCAAGTGGGTGTATTTGCATAGATTTATGAACTCTTTCTCTATCTGGATTGCTAATTCTCTGGTTGGGGCTAAGATCAAGCCATAGGGTCCATCATTGATAGACTCTCCTTCTATCTTTGGTAAGTACATGAAAAAGTCAATCATCGGTGTGAGAAAGGCACATGATTTTCCCATTCCTGTTGGAGCTATTCCGATTAAGTCTCTTTTGTCAAGTGCAACAGGGATTGCTTGCATTTGAATTGATGTAGGCTTTTCATATCCAATATCTGCAATTGCATCTAATATTTTTGAATTCACTCTTAAATCCGACCATCTAATGAATGGAGGAGGAACTTTGCTTCCTTGTACCAGGATATCATTGTTTTCTCTGACAATCTAGAAATAATTTGCTAAAAATTACCATCCAGTCTCTTTTGGTCATGTCTTGGAGTGCTTTATTGTCAAAATCAACTCTAGAACCGCTATTTATACTCTCCTGAATCTTTCTGCTTTTCTATAGACTGTAAAAATGATATAAATACTTCATTAAGTTTTTGTTCTTCAAGGTGAATGCCTCCGATCATTCCTTTTCCAAAGAGTACTTTTGGCTCATACTTTTTCTGGAAGATTGGGTTTATATCTTGGGAGGTGTCATCGTCAGGATTCCAGTCGTCGACATACACCTTCTTGAACTTATCACTGGGTTTTTGGACTTTCTTTTTCTCCTTTTTGATGCCTAACTTCTTGTTCTTGATTAGTTCGATTTCTTTAGGAGTCAGGAAAACTTCAGCTTCCTTCTCTTTTTCTCTAAATTTTTCGTCTCTCTTCCTGGAACTGGATGATTTAGTGTTGTTTGATCTTGAAGAAGTTGATTTGTAGTTGCCTAAAATATTTACTGTTGGTTGATTACCTGATAGCCTATCTTGGAGCTTCTCACCGACCAAGCCACGAGAGTACAGCTTGTTTTTCTTCTGTATAATTTTATCATTTTTGTCCTTCTGTTCTTTCTCTTTGTCTTCAAGTTCTTTCTTGCGTTTTTCACGTTCCTTCTTGCTAACGAATGTTGGTTTGAAAGCTATAGATTTAAGAGGGGTTGACTTACAAATGGGAGCTCCTGGGTTCATTTGGAAATCCAATTATTCAAATCCAATTTTAATTTTATAATAAGGGGTTTTGGGGTTTTGGGGTTTTGGGGTTTTGGGG